AAATGCATACATAGATGCTATTATATGTGATTAAATTTAACATGGCCAAGTTTTTGTCTGATTTTAGAGTATATGTCATGCAAATATACACACTTAGGTTTACTTATGAGCAGATTAACTGCAGCAGCTTGTTCATTTACAATGAACTAAAGCATGCGTATAAATTCCCTCGGGATTGGGACTTAAATATATTGCGGTAAATTGTTTTGTCGGAATGGCTATAAACAAAAACAGCCTGACCAGAAACTGTTGCTTTGTTCTGGTGGAGAAGCCAGGGAAGATCAAGGGAAGTCTGATGAAATGAGAGCTGTTCTTCACCAGCCAGAAAGAAAAACTTGCCTCTGAAACTTCCCACAGAATACGAATTTCCAGTAAGTTGATTCAGGATCATCGATCCGTATTGTAATGGATACTACTGAAATGCTTCGTTAGCAAAGTGTCTAAAATTTAATTTAGATACTGTTATGATAATTTGTGCTTACTACAAGTAGAGGTGCCCTGCCATATATAATATTATAGGAACTCTTGTAACACCATGATTTGTGAATTTTCTCCTATTTGTAGGTAGCTGAAATTTTCCCATGTAAATATGCATTCCTGTGTATCAGGTTTAAACTCACTAAAAGCAAACTGGTAACCTTAGAAATCGTCGTACATTTGTACAGAGTTGTAAGGTTAAATAGAGCTTTAAACTAAGTTTGAATGCCTTGCTGTTGGCCTTTTTCTTTCCAATTCATTATCAGCATTGTTCAGAAAATAGCAAAATAATTCTTCTGACAACTTTTCTTTTGGTGAAAAGAAAATAATTGAAGCTAGCTTTTCTTAGTGCCTAGTGTTTGTGTTTTTAAAAACATAATGAGAAGACCTTTCATGAACCCTTCATTCTTTGGAGTATGCATGTTTTGTTTTGTGTGATGAGTTTTACTGTGATGTGCTTGCAGAACTAGGTGGAAGTGTTCACTGAACATGTTGAAAAAGATGATCCATGGGTTTCCTGGGGATTTCTATGTGCAAGCTCTCACCAGCGTTGACTGGGGCAGAAGTTTCCCTGCCTCCTTCCAAACGCTGTCCTTCCAGTGCCACCTCTTGGTAGGCTCACTCACTGACATAGCTGCGGAGTTTCATGAGTTGGAGAGGTGAGCGTAGCAAATGTTTCTGGATGATCTGGCTGACCCTTAAAAAAGAAACAGCCTTCATACCCATTAGCTGCCCGCTGAGCAAGCATTAACCTTGTCTGGTATCAGTGGATATGTGGAAAAACTGGACTCCACATGTATTTGTTGAAAATAAGGTAGTAGGCCTGATTCAAAGCAGAGCTCAGCTGTTGCACCCACCACTCCTGGGTTTAGTCATGTTGTGACAAAAGTTTCCACATGTTTAGATTCATCTCGGTAGATAAAAAGCTGTAGTGTAATATTATCCATCAGATTTTTCTAATATAGTGTGCCTAGTAACTTGGTTTATAGTGTTGAGTGGTCAGTCATTTTTAGTTTTACAGATGTGAACAGGTCTGGTTATATAAAGAGTTGTGTTATCTGACGTGCCCTGAAGAGTAAAATCAAAAATCCTTCATGTTGTTTCAGTTTGGGTGGTTGCAATTACAATCCTCCTCACGCATTAGTTTGCCTTCCTCTGGTCCTTACCTGAGTAATGGTGATAATACCAATTTTCTGTTTACTGGTTAGCATCATACCACAATCCTTCGCAGTTGTGACAGGCCCCTGAAGAAGGAAATGCTGCCTTGAATGGGGTGGAAGAGTGTTCAGTGAAGAATCACAGAATGGTTTGAGTTGGAAGGGACCTTGAAGGTCATCTAATTCCAACCTCCCTGCCATGGGCAGGGAAACATCCTACCAGACCAGGTTGCCCAAAGCCCCATCCAGTCTGGCCTTGAGCACCTCCAGGGATGGGGCAGCCACAGCTTCTCTGGGCAGCCTGCTCAAGTGCCTCACCACTCTCTTAGGAAAGAATTTCTTCCTTATATCTAATCTAATTCTACCCTTTTTTAGTTTAAAGTCATTACTCCTTGTCTTATCACTACACCCCCGACAAAGAGTTCTCCCTAGATTTCCTGTAGGCCTCCTTTAGGATGCTGGAAGGCCACAGTAAGGTTTCCCTGGAGCCTCTTCTTCTCCAGGCTGAACAACCCCAACTCCCTCAGCCTATGCTTAAATATCCATGTGCTGAATCATCCTGCCATCTTAAAGAAAACACAATGTGAAATACAATACTACGGCTTTTAACCCAAAGCTTTATTGTTGGTGTTGTTGTTTTTTTGTGTGTGTGTGAAAAAAACAATTCATTATGAGTGATGCAAGAAGATGTGATGATCACAAGTCATATGATGATTGATCGTTTGAAACAGAATCTTATCAGGTGCATCTGATATGTATATTATAGCTTATAAAACCCATGGAAGCTTGTAGAAAAGGTCGAAAAAATTCAACATGTTAAGGAGCCTGTCCTTTCCAAATTTCCTTCTCCTAAGATATCCATGTTCCTTCAGATTTTAGGAATATTTCCAGGTGGATAATTGCAGCATGCACAGCTTTCACCAAAAGAATGTAAGAACAAAAGGCCGAAGCGAGGCAGGTACCTAATACAGCTTCTTTGGATGTTTGTTTCTTCATTCTGTCCTGATTTGATTCCTTTGTCCATTTTTAGGCTGTTGCTTAGCATTTTATATTAATTTTCAAGGTAGCATAACTGGTAGGTCTGCAGATGAATGTTAGTTGCTCAACAGCCCTTGCATGCATATATATTCTTTAGGCAAAGCAGAACCAATCCTGTCAGTTCTGTCCTATGGCCAGTTTGTGTTAAAATCCCTTATTTATGGAGATGGTATTGGTGGTGATAGCGCTATAATCAATAGCTCCCTTACCCTTTACCTTGTTACAGATTGTGCCTGTAAGTGCTGAGGAAAGCCAGGGATGAAAAAATAGCTTCAGAGAATACTCCATAAAGATGCTCATCTAATCTAATAATACAGACTGAACAGATGAAAAGGAACTGAAAAAGTGCTATTCAAATGCCAGACAATACCAAGGAAATCATCCTGCAAAAGTGTTTTACAAGGATGATTAGGAAAGAAAACCACCTGTAACTGTACCTACATCGATGGGAACAGGGAGGTAAAAAGCTTTCATTATGTCAATGAAGAAGAGAAAAAGCTTAATTTTTCTTTCAAGCTTACTCCTAATGAAGTTGTGGCTTTCTGACACAGCCCAAAAACCCTACTGCCAATATCAGCAAGGGCATCTTAATCATTTCAACAGCAGATACTTAACGTTTAACTGCTTCATCATTTCTGGTGGCTCTCCCTGCTGTGTTTTAAAAGCCCATCATCATGCTTTTTGAAGGGCATACACAAGCATCATAAGTTTCTCTTGGCTTTGGGCAGCTCTACTGACTAGGTACAAAGCTCTAGATTCATAGAAAAAAATGAGTTTTCTCTATCCTTTATCTTAAGGATTTAGAGATGCATAGGGGTGAGAATTCAAAGAATCACAGACCATCCAAGTTGGAAGGGATCCACAAGGATCGAGTCCAATTCCTGGGTCCCTAAAGGACCACCCCCCAAAAAAAAAAAATCTGACCATGTGTCAGAGAGTTGTCCAAATGCTTCTCTTGAACTCTGGCAGGCTAGGTGCTGTGACCACTTCCCTGGGGAGCCTGTTTCAATGCCCAACCACCCTCTTGGTTTAAAAAAAAAAAAGTAAAAAAAATCCAGATATAACAGCCTAAACACCCCCTGTTGCAGCTTCCAGCCACTCCCTCGGGTGCTATCACTAGTGACTACAGAGAACAGATAGACGCATGCCCCTCCACTGCCCCTTGTGAAGAAGCTGTAGGCTGTGATGAGGTCTCTCCTCAGCCTCCTCTTCTCCAGGTTGAACAGGCACAGTTACTGAATTCGTTTCATAGGCATGTGTTAATTTTTTGTTGTTGTTGTTGTTTTTTGTTTTGTTTTTGTTTGTTTGTTTTGTTTTGTTTTTCCTGGCCTGATTGGTGGGTTCCTAAACAAGAAAGAAGAGAGCATCTTGCCACTGGCAGCAGAATTAACCCCTTTCAGAATTGGTGAAAATGCTCAGAAGAGAAGATAACTTAACGCAGAATTACAAACTGCTCTTTAATGATTAATTTTCCATCCAATTTTTTTGTGGTTGCTGAAAGTATTGACAAAGCTTGTTCATTCCAAAATGCTGAAATTCATATTAGGGATTTGGCACCATCCCTAAATCATGGTGGAAATTCTCTTCTCTGGTTGAACATTGAATAGCTTATGAGTTGGGATACTTCTTTGACCCCTGTTGGAGGTGGGGTTTAGGGCTCTGGTTTACATGATTCAGAACCAGGGCTAGGATTTTTTTATTCTTCTTTCTATTGAAAATCAGTCTACAAGATAATCTAGTGTGAGTTTCTGAGCTGCCTGTCCTATAAGAAATTACTATACTTTCTGTAAATGGTGCTGACCCAGAGAGAGGTTAAAGTGATTGAGGTTCTGGGCTTGTAAATTAGGACACGCACCTAGGACACAAGAGGCTGGCCAAGTCCAAGTGTGGTGTCTTTATAAAACCATTTTTTTCTTTAGGGTCAAAAAAGAATTACTTTCATTGTCTTCATGGTTCAATGAGATTCTTTTTGCAGGTCTCTGCACAATAGCTGTGTTCAAATACCACGCAATTTGGAGCTCTGTTGGCTCGTGTGGTTGAAGCGTGTTTCCTCACTCTAAAGCAGTGGAAAGCAAGCTGAGCTTTTCTGAACTGTCTTTTAAGCAGCACACTTGGTTTATATTCTTGTGTTATGTATAGCTGTATAGCTATCCTGTGTTTATTTCTCATTTCAGATACTCTTGGTAGAGAGGAGTGTTTCTCTAGTACCCAGCCATGAGTGGAAGGTGTTTGTGGCAAGGTTTGAATTCACAGGTGCAGCTTGTTCTCTATTTCATCAAACTCTTGGCCCAGCTGAAACTCATGCAAATACTTGGCTTTCCTCCTAAAGCCAGCTTTTCCTGCCCTTCTTTTGTGTGCAGACTGTCAGCATATACCTCCATAAAGTACTTAATGCTTTATTTCTATGATTATCTGCATGGAAATAATGGAAGAAGAGACCAAAACTAGTGCTTGATTCTACTGTCACATTCAAAGTGTGAAGGGAAGAGATTTGGTCTTGAAAGTCTCCAGGTACGATTTAGGGAAAATATTTGTGTGTCTGTCAGTGATGCACGTTTGGCCTTGCATGCAAGACCTGCTCCTGCGATTAATTTTACAACAACCTTTCCACAAGGTCAGAGTCTGTGATGCCCTTTCATGTTATTATATGGCTTTCTCTAAAATGCAACAGAATTGGTGGTGGTGGAACCTGGTGATTGCTCCTACCACAGATTTTTATAGGAAAAAAAGATTACAATGCAAGTAATCCATTGCAACAGGTAATAAATAGTCAACAGGTAGTAATTGCTCAGATACATGGCAACCTGTATCTACAATCTGGCTTCTATAATTTGTCATGTATGTTCACTTTCTTACGTTTCTTCTTTAAATCAAAGAAGTTTTAATTGGACGTGGAGTTCTTAAAAACTTAATTTGTCACAGACATACTGAAGTATGTCTTCATTTTTTTCAGGAGATCTTCTGCCAAAATTCTTTCTTTGGTTTGAATGGGTGAGATAAGAAATTGGCGTGGGTGGTTGGAGGCTTTCACTTCCTCCGCCTTGCAGGGAGGCATCCCAGACTTGTGGCACAAGGAAAGAGTAGAAGGAAAGAGCTAAGTGCAGCATGTTTTAGAGTTAAGTTGGAAGTAGGAATAGGTTACTGGGTGTGACAATAATATTCTGATGCACTGGGAACTTGGTGATGAGAAGGGGATAAGTCTTACTTGTGCCATGGTCCTGTTGAGATGACTCTGCTACTATGCATGAAAACGTAAGACAAAATATGATTAACATAAGTGGTACCGCTGATTTCAGGTACAGTTAAAAGTGGGGAGTTTAAACAGCTTTCAAGATAAGAGGAACACTTCAGAGGGTATTTGCTCACAGTCTACTCTCTAGTGTCGAACATCCAGGTATCGTGTTCTTGCAAAGTAGATCTGTGCTTTTCTTGCTCAGTGAGACCACAGCTCCTGTAGCCTCTGTGCTGAAATGAGAAAAGAGGGGTCTATAATGGGAGGAGGAAGAGAAAGGCCTGGAGAGGATCTTGATTAGGCTGGTTCAACCTTGTAACAGCATCAACGAATACAAGTGTAGCTGGAGCTGGAGGCAAACTTACCTGAAATGTAAAATGTTACCACTGGTAGAAATTCTTTCCTGATAACCCAAACTGCAGCGTGATTTTTTTTTTTTGTGTGGCCTGACAGAATGGCTGGTATGTTGTTACTTTTGGCATAGGCTGTGCTGGTTTGTTTCATGCACTGCATCAAAACACAACATGAGTGTCCAAAAGTAGGAATCAAAAGAGTTACAGTAGATGTAATGCTTGAGAGAAGCTTTCTGCTTTTTCATCTCCTGTAATAACTGAATTAAACTAGCTAATTTGGAACTGAGCAATTTGTCCCTTAAATTCAGCACCAAGTAAAATTAGCGAGTGGTGCTGTGGTCATATGCTTTCCAGGTAATTTTAGGAGGTATGCCCATTGCAGCGAATAACAAGAAGATGCTTTGTTGTGCTGTGATTATTTTGCAAGATCTACCCTCTGGCAACTCCTGATTTGGAGAGCTATAATGAATGGATGAGGTCCCCAGTGAGTATCCAACCTAGGAAGAACAACAAGGATAATATTGAGAATTTATTGCTTGGTCTTTTGCTCTGAGCATGGACCTAGTTTTTAAGTGTCAATGGGAGTTAAGCGCTTAAACCCATTTTCAAAGGCTTTTAAGTGGGTATAAACCAAAGTTCATCTGAGTGGCAGAGAGAGGCCTAACAACCTGAATCTTTCAAGCCATTTGGGTCCCTACCTCCCAGTGATTTTGATCTGGAAACTGGGGTTCCTTAGCAGTTCATGAACTTCGGAAATATTTACCTCTTCTGTATGATGCAGGAGGGATTGCAGGAATAAAATGCAGTCGGGTGGTCGAAGTCCTTTGGCTGAAGCAGGTGTGTAAGTGTGTCAGAGGGAAATGTTTGTCCTGGGAGTTGCTGGGTCGAGGCAGAGAATGCCAGTGGGTGAATTAAATAGCAGGTAACTGAATAATGCATCTGCTTAGTTTCACGAGAAATTGTTCACCTTTTCTTTTTGCTTTTCTATGTCGCCTTGAGAATCCAGCACTATTTACAGTTTATTCCTTACTGAATTATTTTGTCTGATTGTTATTCCAAATAAGAACTTTCTGTAAGTCTGTATCACAGGTGAAGAAATCTAAATATATCAAGCACATCTGCAAACAGAGTTGCTGCTGTGTTTCTTATGAACAAATAGACAAATGGCAGGAAAAATATTCTCAGCTCGCTGCTGTGTCAATTTGTCAATCATATCAGGATTAACATCAGTCCGCGGGTATCTGTTTAACTTCCTTCACACAGATTTATGATTACATGGCACTGGTTACCCTGTCAGTACTAACAGAGACTTTGTTGCTGAGATTAGTTACACATATGGAATGGAAACATTAGCGCAGCAATTTGAAATGATGGATGTGTGTGGTACCTAGGTACTAGTTGCCCTAGTACCTAAATGACCGAAATGTTTCAGAAATACTTCCCCTAAAAGGGGGACTGAAAGAGTCATAAAACCTAGACTTCATTTAATTTTTGCATAGGTGAAGTTTGGAAAAATTATCCAAGCAGAGATGGGATGTGTTTATTCGTTTATCTTTGAAGTTTGGCTCTAGAACTTCAAAGGCTGTGAAAAGTACACGGACTATGAAAGTACACTTTGAAGACAGGTATATTTCAGTACTTTATCTCAAGCTTTATGTTTTAAAAATGGATGTACTAGCTAAGATAATGTTGTGATGTGTGCTAGATCAAAAAGTCTCCTATAAGGATTGGTGGTATTCCCGAGCTGTGTGAAATCTCTAATTGACTAGTGCTGCTCTGGTGATCTGCAGTGGCTGTAAACCCAGTGTAATTCTTAACTTGCTGCACTGCTTCTTCTGTTATGCTTCTCTTGCTCCTTGTAGCCATCTGTGTTCATGTTATCTCCTTCTATCAGTCTGGTGCTTGCATGCTTCAGCCATGCTTCCATCTCTCATCGAGCTTGATGCCACACAAGCGGACTAAAAGGGATAAAAGGTAGGGGGAGAGAGTCGGGAGGGTTTGGAAGGATGCGCGGAGAAATATGGTCACATCGCCTTTAGTCGTCTTTATTTTAGCTTAAGCAGGGATGGAAAGATCATGCCTTCATTAGCTAGGGTGGTTTCTTGTTTGGATAAGGTCCAGCTTTTGTCATCCGCTGTGGGAAATGCGGAAAGGCACTGAAAGAGCATGAGAGGGGAATAAAAGGCCTAGTATCTGACATGTCTGCATCTTGCTCAGCTTTTCTTTGGGCTTCTGTTGAAAAATAACTGACAAGTTTTGTCGTTGTGCTAATTGTTGGTCAGTTTCAGGTTGCTCCCATGATCTCATCTTGCATGAGAGAGAAAAATCAAATCAATTAAAAAAAAAAAAAAAAGAGGAGAAATCTAATCTATGACAGAAGCCTGGCTTCCTTAGAGCAGCAGCAGCTGTCTTACCAGGATGACAGCATGAGAAGCTCTATAGCCCTTGTGTTTTTACAGCAATCAGATTGTTTCATCACAGAATCTAAAATGTTGTTGGAGCATATTTACTCCTCTAGCCCTTCCACTTTTCAAACAAGCATTCAGGCTCTGTTTACGTTGGGAAACAAAATTGCAGGAATTGTCTTGTTCCTTCTCATGGATGTCTGTCTTCTGCCATCTGGGTGGAAGGGTCATCTTGAGCCCAAATATAATGGGGAAAGGTGAAGTTATGGCTCACCAGCCACAGAGAAATCAAACTTTGCTATTGACGGTAGAGACACTGTAGAACAAGTAAGAAGAGTGGCAGATCCCGAGCACTACCTCATGATTGATGAAGGCATGGGTGCTCCTGGTGGAATTTCCCAAAGCATCCAGGGCTGACTGTGCCCCACTTGCCGTAAATCACCCTGGAAAGACCCAGTTTGCCAAATGGTTTTAAACGTGCTTGATACAGAAGAAGAGCTGTGAATGTCACGCATTGATTTCTTGCCCAAAGCAGGATTGTCTTATGCAATACGGCAAAAAATCTATGTACCTGTCTTTTAGAGAACTAACTATGAGGATAATTATTTTATTTAACATTTCTTTGGAAACTGTCCTAAAATCTCTTTTAAAACCGTAGCCCTCCCTATTCAGATTACATGATAAGAGACAATGTGCAGATGATATGCCATAGATTATTTTGGTAGGTGATAACGAAAAGCAAGATGTTCAGAAGACATATTACTTAATTTTTAAAAGGTAGTTAAATATATAAATCTTTCCTCATAAATCTTCCTGAATGGACCTAGTTGGGCATTTATCACGTAGAAGCGTTTTAGTTTCACAATTCATTTTTTCCTGCTTTACATCTTTAAGTTGGAGATTGATGGCTGATTAAAACATCTCTCCAACACCAGAGAAGTTTCCAATTAAAACAAAAAAAAAATCCTTAGCAAACAGGAATATGTCAAATTAGAAAAATCACAGCTACCTGCTCTGTGGATTTTCCACCAGATACTGACATCCGAGGTCTTTGTAGGTTACAAGAATAATTACAGTCCATTTGCATAGACTGGTGCTGAGTCCTTGTAAAATAAAAGCAGGAAAGGATTAGCATGCTTATACACAGGCACAGCATGTTATATGCTAGATTCTTGAAATAATTCTCTGTTGCCCCCCCCTTCATTGCTGTATAATAATTTCCTAGCTTGAAAGATTTAAATACAACCTTGTTTACAAATTAACTATATTGCAATTAGTAGAAGGAAACAAGTAGAATCAAAATCGCTTTATAAAGTAAATATTAGCTCAGAATTTCTGAAGTGCTCTGGAGATGTGAGACATAACTTGGATGGTATTTCTAGGTGGTCGAGGACAGTCAGGATGCTCAAAAGATGAGCTGTTGATACTAACTGGAATCAAATATCAGCTTAGTTTGCATTCTTGCTAAAAAGACAATTAAAAATCTCAGCAGAGATCGGGCCTCCGAGCATTAGGTTCTGT